ATGAGCAGAAAATGATGGGCACCAGAAAAACTGCCTTTGCACTTGGGCCCTTCTGCACTGCACTAATTCAATGCTTTTTAAAGCAGCTTTAAACCCAAAGCAAACATTTATTATATTGCAGCTTACCAATTCTTAGATGTGTTGGCTGCATTAGTTTTCTTTTTTAGACTATCTTTCCCTTATTTTAACCTGGTGATCTGGCCAGCAAGTCTGTTGTTTTTAAAAGAACAAGCAGTCCTGCAGATGTAGCAGTTAGAGGGATGAGACAAACCATTTACCACCCAACATGGTTGCTTACAATGATCAGCTTTTATTTATGCATGTAAAACCTTTACCTCAAAAGGAAAAAAACTGTTTGCTGTAGCTGCCTATAAAGTGTTAGCTGGCGTTTGGCTTCAATTTGTTAGTGTATTTAAAGTGTTTCTAAAGGCTCAGGGTTTTTTTACCATCGTGCATTCTTTGCATGAAGGTAAAACAGTTTCTGTGTGTAGCAGAGCCCCCCTCCTCCAATCCTTACCTGAGGCCCCTTTGATCCAGCCTCGGCTGTATGGGAACTCTGCCTTCTCATTGGCTGTGACAGAAGCGGGAGCCCATTGACTCCTGCTGCTATCAATCACAGCCAGTGAGCCAATGAGGTGAGAGCGGAAGAGAGGGGATGCATAGAGCAGCGGCAGGGAGCAAGCACACAGCGGTGCCCCCCAAGGTAAGTGGCTTACTCAGGGGGCACTGCTCAAGGGGGAGGAGCCAGGAGCAATGGTGGGGAATCCGAAAAGAAGAGGATTAGGGCTGCTCTTGCTCTTTGACAGTTCTTAAATAGGTAAGGGGCGGGGCCACCCGGGGACATTGATGCCACATGGGCTGGGGTCACATTCATGATGTCCCTGGGTGGCCCCACCCCTTACCTATTTAAGAACTGTCAAACCACTGGAGCAGGCAGACAGCGGGAGCCATTGTTGGAAGCAGAGGCTTTTTTTTTTAATTCTTTTTTTTTTTGGGTCAGCAGGCATCATGATTGACGTTGGATCTACTGTGGGGGACATTCTCTTAGTTTTTTTCCTTTAATAAGGGACTTGTCAAAGACCGTGTCCTGTCTTTTTTCACACTACACTTTTTATTTTTTGTGAATGAGTATCGGGACCATATACCCCATACTCATTCACATACGGTGGGTGGGATCTGGGGGCCCCCTTGTTAAAGGGGGCTTCCAGATTCTGATAAGCCCCCTGTCTGCAGACCCCCACAACCTCCGGCCAGGGTTGTGGGGAAGAGGCCCTTGTCCCCATCAACATGGGGACAAGGTGCTTTGGGGGTGAGCCCCCCCTGCCCCAAAGCATCTCCCATGCTATTGAGAGCATGTGGCCTGGTAAGGTTCAGGAGGGGGGGGGCGCTCGCCCCCCCCCCTTTCCTGACCTGCCAGGCTGCATGCTCGGAAAAGGGTCTGGTATGGATTTTGGGGGGAACCCTCTCGCCATTTTTTTTTATTTTAGTTCCCCCCAAAATCTATACCAGAAAAAGTTTCCTTTTAATTTGTTTTCCCAAGTTAAAAGAAACAATGTTTCCTTTTAGTTTCTTAAAAGAAACAAAGCTTCCTTTAACTCCAGGGAAAGTGACAGCTAATTCTGTGAGCTATAGTGAAGCTCACAAAAATTTTGCAAAAAAATATTAGTAAAAAATTCATAAACTGACGCATTATTTTGAATGGATTTTCATTAGTAATCCGAAAATTACGTTAACCGAGGCGTTTGTAAACCGAAGTACACCTGTATAGAGGAATAAAGACCTCCTTCCTCCTGCTGTTGACCTCTCTAGTAATGCATCCTTGAATTCTATTCGCTTTCCCCACTGCTTGGCCACACTGTTTACTCATTTTGCATTCAACTGAAGTAAGTCCTTTTCCTCTGCAGTGCTGGCCAACAATGTACCCCCAATGTTGTACTCTCTCAAGGGATTTTTTTTCCCTTGGTGCATTATATTACATTTAGAAACATTGAACTGCAATTTCCACATTTTTGACCAATCTTCCAGCAATGCCAAGGTGACAGGGAAGAAAGCTCCAACACACAGCCTGTAATTGACAGCCTCAGCTCTGTAACTGTGTAAGGGAGTGTGTCCCTTCTATCCAATTAGCTTTCAGAGCTCATGTACTGTGTAACTGCAGCTCCCTGGCCGCTGTTTGTGATTCTGTGAAAAATCCTTTTCATCTTTGAGCTTTACAAGGATGTACAGGACAATTGGCTGGAAATAAACAGGTACAATTTATGCAGGAGGATTTTTTTAATCTCTGTGTATCACCTGAGGATAGTCACTTCGCTGGGTATATGTGAGGCTTTACAACCACTTTAACTTTAGGTGCGCGTGTGTGTGTGTATGGGTTGATATGGGGTTAGGGTGAAGGGCACTGCTAGGCTATTTTTTTAATACTGGTACAGAATGCCCTCTTTCATGGAAGCCATGTTTTGGGAAAAAAAGGTTTAGATAATCATATCTGGTTGCAGAGTGAAATAAAAATGTGTTTTGTACACTACATTTGAAAGTCTTGTGTAGCAATACTGTCTAAGTAATTTTATTTTTTAAACAAAAGTGGAGTTGCTCTTTAAACACCTGTAAAGTTTTACATCTACAAACACAGAAATATAGTAAATAGAGGAGCAAGTGCAAGTGACTAGCATATCCACTTAATACCAAATCACGTACATGTATGTCATTTGACTTTAAGTGGTAATACAAAACTGTTCTTGTTTTTTTTCAGCTGGTGCTCAGCTTTTATGTAAAAGCCATCTTAGCTGCTAACTAGCCACTGGATGGCTTTTACTGGTGGCAGGAGGTGTGCCCCTCTCCCCTCTGGTGCTTCTTGCGCTCTACTGTCCCGCCAGCAAGTCCGGAATAAAGCTGGCTGTTCTGCTGGGTCACCACACAGCTTGTCGAGGACTGGAAGGTCCCCGATGAGCTCTATGGTATAGGAAACCGGAAGCGACAGACATTTTTTGCACTTCTGGTTTCCTGGATGTAAACAGTGCCATCTTTAAATTTGGAAAGCATCTGATCACACCGATCTTGGTGTGATCAGATGTTTGTAAGGGCAGAGGAGACATCCGGGGTCTAATAGACCCCAAATCTCTCCATAAAGAGTACCGTATACATTTTTTGTGCTGAAAAACGGCCCCCTCGGCTTATACTCGAGTCAACGTCAGGGAGCACTTTTTAGGGGGGCGGCGCGGTGCTGCCACCGTCCCCCCCTTCCGACGGAAGGGACACCAAGTACAGGGGTTGGCAGAGGGCTGCAGTCTCTTACCTGGCTCCGACGATCCATCCAGGATCCTCCTTCAGTCACTCCGGCCACTCCCTCACTCCTGCTGCTCGGCTCCGCCTCCTCACCGGTGATTGGCCGCCAGAACTGTAGCTCAGGAAAGGCACACAGGCGGCCAATCACGGGCGAGGAGGCGGAGCCGAGCGGACCCGCGAAAATCGAGTGAGGGTAAGTGCAGTGCAGAGGTGCTGCTGCAACCACATATGCTGGCTGCAGCAGTACCGTACTAGAACAGGAGTCAGCAAGTGTCATTGGTGTCAGTGGGAGGAATAGTGCCCCATCATTGGTGTCACTGATACTAATGATGGGGCATTATTCCTCCCACTGACACCAATTATGGGGCACTATTCCTCCCACTGACACCAACGATGGGGCACTCTTCCTCCCCCCCACTGACACCAACGATGGGGCACTATTCCTCTCCCCACTGACGGAGTACTGTTCCTCCCACTGACACCAATGTTGGGACACTATTCCTCCCACTGACACCAATGATGGGGTGCTATTCCTCCCACTGACACCAATGTTGGGACGCTATTCCTCCCACTGACACCAATGATGGGGCGCTATTCCTCCCACTGACACCAATGTTGGGGCGCTATTCCTCCCACTGACACCAATGATGGGGAACGATTCGTTGCTCTGACACCAATGATGGGGCACGATTCCTCCCACTGACACCAATGATGGGGCGCTATTCCTCCCACGGACACCAATGATGGGGTGCTATTCCTGCTAGTAGGTGCCTCATTTCCCACCCTTGGCTTATACTCGAGTCAATAGTTTTTCCCAGTTTTTTGTGGTAAAATTAGGTACCTCGGCTTATATTCGGGTCGGCTTATACTCGAGTATATACGGTAACTATCGCTGCCTATTAATGTCACAAGGGATGTTTCCACGAGCATGCGCAATTTTAAAGCATGACATGTTAGGTATTTATTCACTCAGTGTAACATCATCTTTTATATTTTACCGAAAAAATTAGGTATTATATTGTGTTTGTGCACATTAAAATTCAATAATGTTTATTTTTTAAAATGTTTGCATTCGAAAAACCGCTGTGCAAATACTGTGTGACATAAAAAATTGCAAACCCACCATTTTATCCTCTAGGGCCTCTGCTAAATATATATATATATATATATATATATATATATATATATATATATAAAATATTTGGGGTTTTAAGTAATTTTCTATTAAAAAATACAGATTTTTACTTGTAAACAAAAAGTGTCAAAAAAGGCCTCGCCTTCAAGTGGATATGCATAGTACTGAGCTTACAGTATATGCATTGTACTAAGCGTATTTTAGGGCTTAGGTATTTAAAACAATATTAGCTTCTAGCTTCAATCTTGTGATGTAATAAAGGAGGGTAGGCTTAAATTAAGACCAAGCAAGTAAGTACAGTTTATAGACATATTGGTAAAAAACATTCTGAAACTGCCATAACATTCAGCAGCCTACAAATTTGTTAAGAAAAATACATAGTGAAATGATAACTTTAAGGTAAGGTTTGCAGATCCTTTCATTCCCTGTGTTTATAATGTATTATCTGAAAAAAGTGAAGGTAAGTCAAATCTGTCTACAACTGAGATTTGAATTGTACAGATTTTAGTACACTGGTAACTTATATCTTTATATAATACTTTGTTAGGATATGTAGTTCTATCTTGTGCTTTGAATATTGCAGGAAAAATCCAACTTACAAAGGAGATGCCCCAGAGTCCAAATCAGGAGCATCCTACCCAGTAAGTTTACATAAATGTATGTTTATTAAATGTGTGCTAAGAGGCTGAATGTACATGTCATTCTATTGGTAAATTCACAATGTTTTTGTCCTATGGCAAAGAGTAGTGGTCAAAACAGAGTAACCAACAATCACAAATGTTTTGAACTAATGAAAGGTGAAATCTGATTGGCTGATTTGGATGACATCCCTTTGCACAATATCAATGTTCCGTATTACACATGCCAGAGTTTGACAGAACCTGCCTTGAGCGCTCAACAACCAAAGTATGTTAAAGCATGCTCATGAATCTGTATGACATGCAGAATAAACTGGCATGAAGATTAACTTTATGTAAAAAAGAACTGGGACAATGTATAGAGAATTGAAATAGTCACTTGCTACATTGGCCTAATAGCCTCAAATGAACAAAGCCTACAGTTCTAAAATTACAAATCTAGCTCAGCTCCCAGATGATGGTTAATTAAATTTCTCTAGTTCATACCCAGTGCTTCTGTCTATTTGCTTAGTGCTAATTTTACCACAGTGCACACTCTAAAATTGTGCCTGTTTTGTAAAACAAATGGGATTGCAAAATCACTGTGTGCCTGGAGAACTGGTGCATTCAGTAAATTGCCCTTTGTTCCTCTAAAATTTATGTTTTTTGTTCTTTCTGCTCTAGGTTGTGATTTCTATTTTTTAACTGAGACATTGTTTAGTATTTAGTACATTCATTCCATAATTGTATTGTCTCTACTGTGCTTTTTTGCTCTTTAATTTATCTCTTTACTTCTCCTTGTCTGAGAATTCTTCCCACACTTCCCTCTGTATTCTTTTATTATTCAGACATTGAAGCTGATTTATGATAACTGCCCATAGCAGCCAGTAAGTGTCCCTGTTTAACATTTTCTACTGAAGGGTAAAAAATGGGAGCTCATAGGCCTGTACACATGAACACTGGTGTTCATCCAGGATGGATACAAGACTGGCAATGTCAGGCTCTGAGAGGCCACCTGGTGGAGCTGTTGAAATGAATCTAGCTAGCATCAACATGACATATTCATTTTAACAAAGTAAGAACCCCGACTTTTGCTGAGCATGTGCCATTGACCCATTCAATGAAAACTGGTCTTCTGCAGCCAGTAGCGTAGGAACACATGGCTCACACCTTCCTGATATGGCACTCATGTGCAAAAGCTCAAAACTGATTGGTTGTTATGAACAACAGCCCTGTTTTATGAACTAGCCCCAGTGTCCTTCTACTATCACCATACGTTTCTCACATTTCTTCTTCTCTTCTTGTTTCTGCCTTCCTTTCTTAATTTTCAGCATCTCCCACCTCTTCATTGACCACCGATCTTCTCTCAGGTAGTGAACACGCGTCCCAACCGTAGAAACGCAGGGGAGAAGATCAAGTATCGCCTTGTAGCTGTACCACATGGGAATGACATTGCATCCCTTTTTGAACTGGATCCTACCACTCTGCAGAAGACAGATTCATTTGTTCCCAGGTACCTAGATCATGTATAACAACAGCAACCCTTTTTAGCAATATATTATATTTCGAATCACTGCAGAATTTAATATATCTTAGTTGTGCAGTACAGGGTTGGGTATACTCTGGGTTATAAGCTGCTATGTTCAGATGACTGGATACTGACAAAGCATTTGGACATGCTGCCTCTTTGGCGTATAATCCTACCCCACTCTGGAAGACCTAAGTATTTTGCTAGTGTCTTATAGGTGATGGACCTGGTTCTTATTTACTTTGAAATTCTTCGATCGACTCTTCACTGCCTTCTACTATTACAGTAGATACAATAGATTGGTGCATCCTTGGTAATACCATGGGAACCGAATCCGCACCCCACGCTGCTGGGACAGCCTATGATTTTGCACTGGATCCTGCTTGGATGCTTAACCCAACTTAGTGCAGATATCTACATGGTACTATGCAGGTCAAGGGCCTAGGTCCATTCATATGAGTCCCAGACTCTGAAGACCCCTCTGGGGGTATGGGCAAAGCCCGGACCCATACTGGGACCAGTGACATGGAAAGGTAAGACAGGGGTGTCGTGTTATCGGACCACTGCTGTAGCCTTATAGCAAGTGTGAGAACTAATATTTCCACTACTTTCAGTACACTTATTGGTGTCTCCTGGATAGTGTTAATTTTTACGTTAAAACTATTAGGAAACCAGGAATTGTGTTTGACTTTATTCACTTATTGAGTGTTTAAACTTTCAAACTTGGTGATAAAATGTCCACCATTTGGAGCTTAGTCTCTGGTGGTTGACTAGGTATTAACACACAGGTCATACTAATACCACCACTTCCACCTAGAGCCCTTCTAAGGTACTCAGGCGCTTCCTCCCATCCATCCTTATGCTGCAAGGATTTTTGCTGCAAGGAGCTTCCTGAGGACTCGCAACACATAAAATTCATTGAGGCTGAGCCACATACATCATTCCTACGACACACGTTGCTGGAACGCACGCCGGCCATGGTATGAGTGGTGGTGTGAGGTGGTCTCTCTAGTGAGCTGTTTATTAAATAGGGTGTAGACATCCTGGCTGGCAAGTTCAACAGCAAGTTATCCCTGTTTGTGATCAGGACCAATGATCCTCTATAACTGGCATTAAATGCTCTGGTAATTCTCTGGACTCCATTCAGGCTAATACATGTCTTCCTTAGCTGATTAAGGGGAAAAATGGTGATTCTCATGACAGCAAACTGGCCCAGAAGAACCTGGTACACAGACACTCAAATTTTTAGGAGACAACTCCTAGCTTGTCCCAGATAGGCCAGACCTGCCATCTCAAGGCCCCCTGTACCACCCTGCTTCTCAGTCACTGGCTTTATTGGTATTGCTGTTGAAGCACAAGTCTTGAAGGAAAGGGGTATACCTCATTCTGTTATTCCAACACTACTCAAAGCTAGAAGAGCCACTTCAAGAAAATTATACTACTGTGCCTGGAGATCCTTTTTTTGCCTGTTGTGAACACTGGCATTTCAACCACAGAGACTGATCTGTGCTTCACTTTCTGGCTTTCTAGCAGTCTGGCTTTGACCAAAATTTGGCTCTTAGTACTCGTAGGCATCCGGTTTCAGCCTTATCCATCCTTTAGCTTTGCTCACCTTTATTCAAGGTGTCTCAAGAACCAAACCCCATTACAGCGCTCCATGTTCCCTTGAGATCAGTCATGTTCTCTCTGCCTTGCAGAAACCATCTTTTTAACTCATTAGGGAACCCCCCTTGGGTGATCTTTTCTGCTTCCAGGCTTCATGATGGCTATCATGTCTGTCAGATACTGTTTAGAATTAGTGGCTCTCACTTGTAGGGGGCCCTTCTTAATATTGAAGCCATTGGATCAACAAGACAGCCAGGCAACTAAACTATCAGTTTCAGAGGGAGAGCTATTATAGCCTGCATATTTATATTAGTATTGGTTTTCATTTGAACTCCTTGTCACCAGAGGTTATGGATGCCAAGATGTCTAGATCTAGATTTTGCATCATCTGTAAAACTTGCAAAGCTTTTTTGCATATGTAAACTTTTATTTTGTTGGTACACCTCAATATTACTGACGATCGTATGCCTATAGACTGAAAAAAGACCTTTGTTTTTTACCCCAAGCATTATTTTTGTTGCTTCTATTAAAAATTAGATCAGTAGAAAATGCATGTGCAGTGTCACCAAGTAATCTCTCTTTATGGGATGCATTTATTGGGGTTGATTTACTAGAGGGGTTCACAATCTTCACTCAATAAATTGTAGCTGTGTTTCCTTTAAATATCCAATCATGTGCAGATTTCCTTTAAATATACAATCAATCAATTTATTGAGTGAAGATCCTCAAACGTTAAGTAAAGCTGGCCACACAATTCAGCCATTTCCTGCCGAACTTCTGAATTTCAGTCCATCTATGGCCATTTCTGTTCATGAGAAGTCCATCTATAGATTTACTTCTCATGAACCAGCTTGTTGGAAAACATTGCTTTCTTTAGCGCATGCAGCCAATCGGCTGCAGGGCTGATCAGTGTATTCTGATGGCAGGGGAGTCCTGCTATCAGACTACAAATACATTAGGGAGGATTCCTGCATCCAGCTTGATGGGGGAATCAGTTCAGTCTTTTCTTTCAGCCCACTGGCTGAACAAAAACTACTGAACTATGTTTTAGTCAATCTCATCATATGCGCTGAACAATGCATGTGCATGCTTAGTGATAGAAAGATTTCAAAAAAATATTGCAGCCTAGTCTTTTTCTTTTTCTAGAGTGAGTTTAACTGTCTGAATTATTTTTTAGGAACTCATTTGTGAGATTAAGACATCTGTGCACCAACACTTGGATTCAAAGCACCAATGTCCCCATAGATGTTGATGAAGAACGGCCAATACGCCTTATGGTAATTAAATTAATTTTGTGCAGTTATTTTGGATGTTGGTTATCATTAACTGTGAAGATAGAAGTATGAGGGCTGTTGATCTGTTAATCACTTTTGTACTCTTGTACGTTTAAAAACAGTGTTGGGTGGTTTCTTGCCCAGGTCTATTTGAAAACAGCACTAGATTACACACCGTCAGGCAGGCATTCCACCCATTAATACCAGTAAACTGATACATTCTCATAAGGCCGGCTCTGTTCACAGGCACTATGTACAGAACCAATCTGAGCATATCTATATCTTTAAACCATGGTGATTGAACATAGAGAGACCAAACCACAGCAATCATATCTAACAGCCCTCCCTTTCCTTTCGAAGGAACCAATGAATGAATTAATAACTCATTCGTTCCTGAGCATGGTAGAGCTCAGACAGCGCATAATGTTAAATCTTTTAAATCCATCACCATCCCCAATACATCTGTTCTACAGGTGAAACTCGAAAAATTAGAATATCGTGCAAAAGTTCATTTATTTCAGTAATGCAACTTGAAAGGTGAAACTAATATATGAGATAGACTCATTACATGCAAAGCAAGATAGTTCAAGCCGTGATTTGTCATAATTGTGATGATTATGGCTTACAGCTCATGAAAACCCCAAATCCACAATCTCAGGAAATTAGAATATTGTGAAAAGGTGCAATATTCTAGGCTCAAAGTGTCCCACTCTAATCAGCTAATTAAGCCATAACACCTGCAAAGGGTTCCTGAGTCTTTAAATGGTCTCTCAGTCTGGTTCTATCTATCTGGTTCAGTCTGGCATTACTGAAATAAATGAACTTTTGCACGATATTCTAATTTTTTGAGTTTCACCTGTATATATGTCTCCTGATGTGACCTGTATATTACCTTCCCTTATCCTGCATATCTCCATTCTCTCAATATATGTGACCGCTACATTACCCCCTTCATCTTCATCCTCACACTGTAGATGACCTGTACATTAACACCTTTTTCTCCTCCTACCTATTGTGACCTGTATGTTCTGTGTCCAGTGTGCCATTACCAAGCTCCACATTTTACCCCCACAAAACCAGAATGTTTCAAAAAATTGTGACAAAAAATTAGATCACCTTGGGATGTCTACTTTCCAAAAAAGGGGCACTCTGGGGTTTTCGGAATGTCCTGGGATTTTTATTGTAATAGAAAATTAACAGAATCTTTTCAGTTTTGTTGGTCTTGTTTCCTTTTAATAGTAAAACAAATCAGTGGTAATTAAATAAAACCAAAATATATTGTCTGTCTCAAAAATGATAAATTTATATGGGTGCAGTGTTGCATGACCAAGGAATTGTCAGCAAAACTATCACAGTGAGAGTGAAAAGTGGTATGGACAAGAAGGGGGTGTAACATGGTTACGCTGTATTTTTGTGGATCTGTGTTTGTGTCATGTTTTCGTAATGAAGGGGTATTAAAGGCTGACTAAGGGTTATGTATGGGTTTATCACCCTTATCCTTACTTCACTACACTTCACAAATCCACTATAAAGTATGAAGCACATACTTGCCTCATGTTAGTGACTCACCAAGCTCTGATACAAGGTAATGGATGACACCCCTGGACTTTTCAACCCTTTAAAAGCCAAACTGTTAATGGAAGCTCTCATATTTTGTCCTGAAAGTTTCCTTTAAACATTTTAAAATGTTTCCAAACATGATGATATAGAGCCCACTACCTAGTTAGTATTCTTTGCACAGTATGATATCACCAATATTTTTTTATTTTGCTTAGCTGGGTACCTGTCCAACAAAAGAAGATAAGGAAGCATTTGCTATTGTTTCTGTACCTGTGTCTGAGATTCGGGATTTGGATTTTGCTAATGATGCAAGTTCAATGCTAGCCAATTTTGTGGAACGTTTGAATGAGGGATTCATCAGCCAGAATGATCGGAGGTATGTGGTGAAATATGGGGAAGTAAAAACAGTCAAATCTTCTATTTAGTTATTAAATACTTGGGTTGATTTACTCAAGGAGTAAAGGCTGTTCACCTAACAAATCAATGTACATAACATGACTCTCTGTCCAATTTTAATAACCATTCATGTGATAGGGAAATTAAAAAACAGGATTTGTTCTTGCATGTGATTAGATGATCGAAGTGGACACTGTTTCACCTCATTTACTAAGCTAAGTTAATGTTCACTTTTAATGCAAGTATTCACTTTGCTAAGTGAACAGTCTCTGTTCCTATAGTACATTAACCCCACAATAGCTATGATGAAAAAGTTATGTTGGTAATTATAGTCTGTCACTGTATTATCTGGATTTAACACACCAACAAACCTGTATAGTTTAAATGTCAACGTAATCTATATGCAATTATTAGGTGAACCACCTGCAACTCTGGCAAGCAGAGAAGAATTCACAAAAGAAATAAACTGTACTAGTGGGGATGAGCGATAAGAAAATTGATTTTCAAATTAGGCAAATCAGTAAATTGTGAACTTTCTGATGTCATGTATATACTGTACATTTGGCCAGTTTGCTGAGAATCATGCAACTCACAAATTAGAGATCTGCATGCAATATTCAAGCCATTAAAAAATGAGTGAAATACTGCTTCTGCTGACTTTGTGAGGGCTACCTACCTATTTAATATAAATCCTATAAGTTTGGGATGTAAAGTCCAGGACAAAGGCAGAATGTTCCTGCACCACAAGTTATAGATGTTCATTGATTGGACACTGGTAAGCTTTAGAGAAGGTATTTTGTCACTTCTATTGATGACTACTCAAGATATAGTGTGCTCTACCTGTCACACTGCAGAGATAAAGTCTCACAAAAGTCTCACTAAACAATGTCTTGTCCTAGTAAACAATAAATTTGGCAATATGCCTGAACTACTTCACAAAGATAATGGCACACAGCACAGTAGTGGTAAAACACAAGCTATTGTAAGGGGGCATGGAATTATGTTACATTCTACTGTTCCATACAATCCAGAACAAAATGGTATTGCAGAGAGAATTGCATTTTGTCTGGAAGTGGCAATAGTGTGCTTTTAAATGTGAATATTGTAACAGCATACTCAGGAGATGCAATTATTGCAGCCTGCTATCTCCAAAACCGGTTACCTGAAAAAGCAACTTCATAGGAGCTATGAAAGGGAGAAAGACTGACTTAAAACACATCAAAACCTTAGAAAGTTGTGTATTGTATGTACATGTCCTCATGCACAAATAAGGTAGCAAGAAGCAGAAGTGTAGTTATTAAAGAAACACCTATGAGTCAGAAGTCTCATGAAGTGACACAGCACAGTCTGAACAAGAATCTGAGCAAGAAGCTCCACCAGTACTGCAGAGAAAGAAATAGCATCACTGAAATTGAAATTGGTGTCAGTGATTTATCCTCTGAAATGTGAACCGCCTGCAACCTAAGAAAATATGTGTGATCTAATAGGGGCATCTCAGCTAGATACTTGTTATATATGGGCCATAAAGCACCACAGCTTAAGCCAGCGTCCTGGGAAAAAAAGCTACCTGTTCATGAGAAACAAATGTGAATTAAAGCTACAGATGCTATGACAGCAATCACAAGCAGTAGGGAAACTTGTATACATTGCAGCCACTACCAAAGTGTGAAAAACTCTGAAACAAGATGGGACCTACAGTATACATAAGAAGCAATTGTTGAATGGGATGTTATTAAGCTGTTTATACAGATTGTTGTCCACCCATTGTAATGAAACAGATGGATGACCTTACTAGGGTAAGACAACATTTTAAATTCAAGCTTTAATTCTATATGCTTGTGCATGCTCTTTGTACAGTGCAGATCACAAAAAGAAGGTACAGAGCCAATAAGAGTGGCTCTGTACCGCATGATTGCTATGACCACAAAAAGAAGGTACAGAGCCAATAAGAGTGGCTCTGTACCGCATGATTGCTATGACCAATCACACAATTTAACTAATAGCTCTGTGAGAGAAAATAGGCTTCTCGATCACAGCCAGCACAGTGTAGCGTAAACTAGTGCCATTGTCATCCAGTACACAAACAGTGCCATCCAGGTGCATTCACGCCTCTCTCTGATCTGTCCTATATGTTAATCCCACCACCTCCCTGGTCCTAAAGTGGTTAATGGAACCATATGGTTATAATTTCCTGGCTTGGTGTTTCTTGTTTCCAGTAAGATAAGAAGGGCCCAGCCATGTGTCCATCTTGACAGGTAAGAATCATATCTGCAGGAGCTTTCCAAATCAATTTCTTGGATTTCTCAGGGGCTTGATTAGTGAGATATCTTCTCTTGTGTTCCTAGGTCTCTACAATTGTTGTGAGCATTATGAGGGTTTCCCACTCTCCTTGTTTGGTTATTTTATTTATTTCATATTGTGGAAAATACAACATGATGTGCTAGATAGAACATGTATAGGTAAACAGGAATTTTCCATTTATCTTCACCTAGTGATCAGCCAGTTAGTCTTTTTTCAAGCAGACCAAGCTGCCCAAGGAAAGTGGCAGTTACAAAGTTGACACAAACAATTTAACACTAGCAGGGGTGCTTACAATGGTCAGATTTTATTCATTTATGTAAAACCTTTATCCAAAAAGATAAAAAAGGCTGTTGCTGTAACGGCTTGAAAATGTTAGCTGGAGTTCAGCTTTAATTTGTTAGTCAAGTCAGTTTAAATCTGCTAGTGTATCTTAACACTACCCTCTCTTCAGATTGACTGTGTTGCTTTCCAATAGTTTATCCTTTGCTCCTCCAACCAGATTGGAGACACTGTAAGATAAGAAGTGGCAACATATAGAAAAAAAGCCTAAAAAAGAAAAACAGTCAGTCACTACATTTAAGAATTGGTATGATGCAGTATATTACATTTTTGTTTTTGGGTTTAATACTGCTATAACAAAGCAGTCTTTTTTTTTTTCTGAGTCCACCCTGTAGCTTATTTTTCAGCTTCCTTTACCAGACCAAGTTGTGTAGCAAAAGTGGCAGCTAGAAATTTGAGACTGACCATTAAACACTGACAGGGGTGCTTACAATAGTCAGCTTTTATTCATTTAGTTAACCTGTTGCCACCAACGTAACACAAATATGCAGCATTGTGGAATTGGGTCTGCAACACTGTAGTGTTGGAAGCATGCTCCTTAGCACACTCCCAGTAGTCAGCTGTCACAGCTCCTGGTCTCATACTAACAATCGGGAACCCCAGCTCCTGATCACATGATTACTGTGATTAGCTATCACAAAATCCTTTCAGTAAAATTCATCCCTTGTACTCTTTTCCTCCTCTGAATGGAGAAAAAGGTAAATTGTATCTTCTTCTTCCAGCTATTGTAGAAAAAAGGCATGTTTATAAAAATAAAAAATAAAGATCAAAGAGCTAGGTCAGGGCTTTTATATACGTTGTTTTCAGGGTTAGAGGTAAGGCTAAAAAAACATTTATTTAGTTTGTATGTTAATGAACCAAAAACAAAAATACACCTTACTACAGGTACAAACAATACATTTTATGTATGGTATTGCCACAATGCCAGGGGTAGGAGAATTTTCTTAGGTTTTTTTTTTTGTTGGTGGGTCAGGCTAATGACAAGTAATATACAGCAAAATTTTACAAATTTAATTTTTTTTTACTATTTTGGGTGTAATTTACACCAAGTTGTTACAATGATATTTACAATTGTACTAGCACATGACAAAGTTGCAAAACTGGGGTTCAGGCCTTCTGATTTGTTTTACCTTCAGACATTAAGGGGTTAAAATCTTTACCCCCAAAAGACAAAAAATGTTGCTGTCACGCTTAAAAAGTGTTAGCTGGAGTTAAGCTGATCATACATGGATAGAAATGTGGCTGGTTCAACAGGAACTGGTTGAATTTTGAACCATGTGTGACCATTGTGGTTGAACAGAAGTTGATGTATCAATCAACTTTTGTTCATCCGTCCTGTTGGCGTTTCCTCACTCAGTGTTGTGAGCTATAGACTGCAGCGCTAATCTGCGTATTCTGATGGTGGGAAGTCTCTCCACTGTCAGAATAAATTGTCACAGCAGGGAGGATTCCCCCATCCATATCGAATGTATAAATAGAGGAATTGAGTCAGTTTTTCATTCAACCCGCTGGGTGAATGAAAAAAATTGACCCATGTATGGCCAACTTTAGGCTGTAGTCAGTTATTTAAAGTTAATTTAAATCTAAAAGGTCCATCTATGGTAGATTTTCATATGAATGTTTTTTTTTAAATATTTGTACATTTGATATGTTATTCTAATGAAAGCCACATACACTGTTGGAAACTCATTAGTTGAAGGAAACATTTTATTCTGCTCCTTCAAATTTTTTAGTCACTATGGTGAAAAACAAATGTTGATTTGACCCCTCTAATGATTAGAAAAATAAACAAATGTTCTGAAAGCAAAAAGTTTTTGAACAAAATTCCACTATTGTCTGGACAGCTTAACACTACTCTCCATAGGCAATGCTGGTATCCAAGGGTGTCTCCTTTACTCCTCTAGAGGAGCCACCTTAAGGCAGGAAGCATGTCACTGAGGGATCACCAGGTGAAAAAAGGAAAAAGACCAAAAATAGAAAACAAATGCAGCCAACATCTAATGATTGGTGAGCTGCAATATAAAATGTTTGTTTTTGAAATTAGATATGCTTTAAGGCTCCATGCACACTAGCATGTTTTTTTTAAGCTAAAAAAATGCTGGATAAAAAACGCTGGTAATAGTGTTTTTTTTAGTAGCGTTTCAGTACTGCTTAGAAACGTTTAGAAGTGTTAGCATTTTATTAGCATTTTAAAGTACATGTAGAGGAGAAAAAAACAAGTTAGGAGCATTTTAGTAGTGTTTAACGTTTTTTGTGACTGGAAAAATGCTCCAAAAAAACTATTATTTTCTGTTCCTAGATGCTGAAGCTCAAAAAATGCTAATAGCCTAAAGTAGTGTG